GCAGAGGCAGACGCGTCAGGCAGTGACTACAAGATTTCTGACCCGGTGCCAGCGTTTGAGCTTCGATATACGATAACCCAAGTCTGGAACACAGTCTGTCGAGACATTTGCCCCCGGCCATTCATGACTAATCTCCTGCTCTTCGGCCGGTTTGTTGGACATGCAGTGGCTGTTTCGCCTTCCATGCGAAGAACATGCCAAAACCATCGCAGCTGTAACTTTTCAGAGTGCACAAGTAGCAACTGTACACAAATTCTTTCTCGGTTAACTGAACTTAGGATCATCTCTAGGTGTATGAGTGCGCCTAGACTCGAAAAACGCAGCTAGCCAGGCTTTGACAAACGCGCAAAAACTGGGTATTACACAACCTGTTCAGCAACGGGCAAGGTCGGTATACGCTTAAAGATAATGGACCGTGTCTAAGCAGCCAAAATCATTAACATAATCAGTCCAATCTAAGGCATACGTCGTTTACAACTGCCCGATGAGTCCGCTAAAAGGAAGCGTGGCAACCTTGATGTGAACATCTCTAATCCGTGCCTTCAGGCTTGATTTTTCGTGTCCTGATCAATAATATATAATCTCTGACATCGTTAAAAGAACAACCTTCAATACTACCATACGGAAATCACAACTGTCTTCAGTCAGACGCGAATACTACTTTCATAACTGAAGCAGCACTAGGACAGCGTCAGAACGGGAGATCAGCGCTGCGCTGTACCGTTAACTCAATGAAACCAAAAAATCGTGACATAAATCAAAGTCCTTACAGAAATGCAAAAGAAGACTTCCATCTTACCAATTAGAGTACATTGCTTTATTCTTCTCAGTACCTCAATGCATGACATTCAAAACTCTTCTGTTTCCAAAAAGTTTCAGGAATACGAATGCTTCAAATTGTGCAATGCGAAAATTAAATGGAACAAGGTGACACAAAGAATCTGGAAAATACACCTCATATTTCAGAATATCACTGTTAAAAGTACAGTACAGGATGGAAGTCATATCGTTGCACAAACATCAGAGAAATGTCGGTAATCTAACAATAACAGGAGTACCGCTTTACTACTCAAGATACTTTAGAGGTAACGGCATAAAAACTAAATAAAACGTTTTACACAGACGGCTTTAAGAACCATTAAAACAAAGTCACAGTGTATCTTTCGGCAATCATGTGGGTAGCAGCTTCAACTTCTTCACATAAACAGATAAAAATTTTAAGCATATTTAATAGAAGGAACACAGAAACAACAAATCGATGAAAAACCGCAATGGGAAAATACACCTTAAAGAAAAACCTTCCGAAGCGAAAGTCCAAGGCAAAAAATTAACAGATATTAACCGCAAAACAGCAAAGTGAACAAGCTAAAAGCAGTTACGAGCCAAAGTAAGTATAACTTGACATGAAATGATTACGAGGAACAAATTACCCAATAAGCTGCAATTAAAATTAACGCCTAACAGGATACAATACAGTAAATTCTGCAGTGGATCAACAAGTACAATGCTATTAAGTCAACATTCCTTTAGAATATTGCAAACGTGCACAAATCCTGTCTTATTAAAACAGAGCACAAACAACGTTCTCGGTATTATACGGTAAAGACAATTAGATCGTATATCACGGCTTTTTTGCAAAGTAGATCCAGTTCATTTCCGACAATCTTTCTGTTATTCGCAGCAGCTAGCATTTTGAGTCAAAAAACTTT